TCATCATAAATGGGTGAATTTGGACAAATTTTTTTTTATAACAACTGATATGATCATGTAGTTTTCCTTATTTTTTTCTTTATACAATGGATTACACTGACTAAATTTCAAATATTGAAGCAGGCTTGCATATCTGGAATAAATAAATTCCACTTGGTTGTGGAAACAATTCAGATGTCTTTCCACAGTGAATGGGTTACCAGGCGGGGATAAAACCATACAATGGAATACTATTTAGCAATAAAAAGGAACAAACTATTGATACAGCAACAACACTTACAGATCTAAAGGGCAAGATGCTGAGTGTAAAGTCAAAAAACCTGGTCAGACTTCAAAAGGTTACAAGTTGTATGATTCCACTGATATAACATCCTTAAACCTACATTACAGTGCCAAAAAAAAAAAAAAAAAAAAAAAAAAAAAAGATCAGTGGATGCCAGTCATTAGGGTTAGATGAAGGTTTAACTATTAAGGAGCAGCAAGAGACTTTCTTTGTGATGTTAAGTTCCATATCCTTTGTGTGGTAATAATAACATGATTCACAAATATAACATTTTATAAACAGAAGAAAAAGAGCTTGTAAATATTGTGAAATCCAAATAAGGTCAGTATTTGAGTTAATTGTGTTGCTGCATGCTGCAGGGTCAATTTTCTGGTTTGATAATATACTGCAGTTAGATAATAGGAAGAAGCTGGTACATGGGAACTCCCATATATTTTTGTAACTTCTTGTGAGTCAAAGTATTATAAAATAAAACATTATTTAAAAAAAAAAAACAGGTAGAAAAAAAAGAAAAAAAGAGGGACATACCCCTTGAAAGAGGAGTCAAGGAAGGCTTTGTTCTATACAGAGGGAACAAGTATCAAGTGTGTGGAAAAAGAAAGCATTAACAACTCCATGGAATTTAAATGTGGCTAAATTGAGAAATCTAGCTTTCTGACTACCATTGTAGTTCAGGAGTCAGGTGATGGTGGCGGCAATGAAAATGGAGAAGAACTGACATGAAATGTATAAAGCAGCATAAAATAAATGGAACACGGTTATGGTTTAAAAGACAGAAAATATCCATCAGATTGGGTGATACAGAACTAACCTATTTCAAAGGAAATGGTGGGGGGTGGGGAATGTCAGACTGGAGCAATTTAAAGAATGGGGTGGCAGGGGGACAGATACAAGTTTAGAAAACTGAAGGAATCTGGCTGTAAAAAAACAAAAACAAAAACAGAAATGGGTTTTGTAGCTAGAGGAGGACTGTGAAAAGGAGGGGAGATATCTTAAAAAGTAATGAAATGGGCGTATTTGAGTGTTAACAGGAAGAACCTAGTTGAAATGAAGGAGAAGAGATAATAAAGAAAAGAAACAACTTAAGGACAAGTGTGAATAAAAGAGATGATGTGATGTTTTGGGGAAGGCAGGATGCTCTATGGTAGAAGGGAATATGGCAATTCATGAAACTGAGGTAAGGCTGAAGTATTAAAAATGAGGGAGACAGTGGTGGGAAATAGTTCAGAAAAGGGTAGGTCTACTTCTACTGTAAGAGAAAAAGAGGTGAAGATGGGTACAAGAATGTCTGATACAGGGTACATTTTTATCCAGTGACTTCTCTTTTTCTCTGTGAAATAGTAAGAAAGCTCTATTAGTTTGCTAGGGGTGCCTTAACAAAGTACACAGAGAACTGATGTCTTAAACAACAGAAATTTATTTTATCATAGTTCTAAAGGCCAGAAGTCCAAGATCAAGGTGTCAGGAGAGTTGATTTCTTCTGTGGAATCACTCCTTGGCTTGTAGATGGGCATCTTCTCTTTGTCTTCCCACGGTCCTTCCTCTGTGTGTCTGTGTCCTAATCTCCTCTTCTAAAGGTATCAATCAATACTGGATTACGGCCCACTCATTATGACCTAACTGGCTCTCTCCAAATAAAATCACATTCGGAGGTACTGGGGGTTAGGGTTAGGACTTCAACATAGGAGTACTGGGGGGACACAATTCAGTCTGCAACAAAAGGTTGCTTTGTCAAGAGTGCGAAGGGAGATAGGATACATCAGAGGTTCAAAGTAAAAGGCTTGAAATAGTTCTAAATAGTCTTAAATACTTCTCACAATGTTACATGAAGTAATGGCTTAAATGGTCAATTGAGTTTTAAGTTCAATTTAATTCAAAATGAAATTATGACTTAAAAAAAGAAATTATGACTATTATTCCTCTAAAAAATTGTTTTACAAATCAGAAAATCTGAATTCTAATACCTGCTCTGTTAATAAGCAATGTTTCTTGGCTATATCTATCTTTTAATTTTGTCACTCTAAAATAGGAAGAACATTTCACAGAAAAGGCATATGAGTACCCTAGAAAGAACACTGACTTGGGAACTCCTAACATCCTAGTCCTGCTCTGTCACAGAAGGGCTTAATTTCTCAGAACCTCGCTCAATTCCTCATCTTAAAATGGAGTATAACTAAATCATCTTTCAAGTCCCTTCTAAAATCCTACAGTTCTATGAAATGAAGTAAAATGAAGTTATTTGAGAATAAATGTGGCACTGGAAAAAAAAGATTCTTTGAAATATTTACCAATAAAAATTATATGCTCCCAGCATACTGAACATTAGTCTTCCAATTCTATCTTTTCTACATCCTCCTCTGCTCCCAAGTCAATACTATCCTATAAAGTTGGCTTAAACAGTGTGTGCTGAACTGCAACAAAATATTACTTCTTTTGTTATATACGCTTCTCTACTTTAAATCATTACATTATGAAACACCATTCCCAGAATGTCTAAAATAAGAGTTTTGCATATTAAAAAAAAAAGCTGAATGATGGATATAGTAGTCAGAAATATGCATGGCAAAAGTAACAGAAAATCCAAACATCTAAACAGAGTTTATTTTTCTCATGTAGTAAGTGTAGAGGTTGGCAAGTGTTCATGTTGGTTCAGGTGTTCAACATGCCATCAGGGACCCAGGCTCTCCCTAATCTTTCTACAAAACCATCTTTGAAAGGTAGCTTTCATACTCCTATTTATTGTTTCATGGTTGTAAGATGGCTGTTTTATCTCCAACCATGTTGTTGACACTCATGTCCTGAAGGAAGAGAAAGAGGCAAAAAGCCTTACTTCACAATGCTTTGACTTTTTAATTTGAAAGGAAGCCCTTCTCAACAGGCTTCTGTCCATTTTCTTAGCCTTAAATAGGTCACATGCTCACACTTTAGATATCTACACTTCCACTACTCTGATGGCCATGAGTCACATGCAATTATTTAAATTTAATTTAAATTAAAAATTCAATTTCTCAGTTCTACTGGCCATATTTCAAGTGCTCAATAGCCACATACAGCAAGTAGCTACCAAACTGGACAGTAGAAATACAGAATATTTCCTTCACTGCAAAAAATTCTTCCTTGGCATATCACAGACCATAAGAAATGAAACCACTTCTGTTTAAGATCATTCATAAGGTTAAGGTCCTTATCTCCCAGAAGAACAGGGATCTCTGCTCCTACCTGAACAATGTAAGATACTGTTAACAAGGAAAAGGTGGCAGTAAAAGCAGTTGGCAAACATCTGCCACGATGGGATTATCTGTACATTTAAACTGAGGTTTATAGATTATTACACATCAATAATGTATTTCATAAAAAATTCTTGACAAGAAGGTATTAAAATTAGAAAAATAAAGTGAAACTTAGGCTGACAGTTATAAAAGGCACTAACTTACACAAGTATAATTGCTAAAGTAAATACTACTCTAGTGACTAGCAGGAGAGAAAGAAAGGTAATGGAATAATATACGGGCACTACTTTCTTTATAGGAAACACATCTTAAATGGCTGATTATGTTGAAAATGCAGTTACTAAATTTATGGGCAAAAAACACTGTATCTTGTGATAACAAAGATTAGTTGATAAGAATTGCCTTTATATGAGGAGAGTTATTTCACATGTGCTCACTTCTTATGAAAGAATAAAATGAAAAAGACTGCAAAATAAAAGAATTAGACCAGATATGGAGAATAATTTACTAACAGAATTTTCAAAAAATTTAAAAAACTGATGTTGACAATAATTTTCTTCCTAAAGACTTCCAAGTTGTCAATTCCTCTATGAACCCCATTTGCCTAAATCTGGAAGAGCTTCTGTATACAATTGGCAAACTATGTATTTATATTTATATATGTAATTATACATGTATATGATACATACAAAATGTAACACATATATGTAAAATGCAAGCTACTACTAATAATACATGCCTTGAATGACCAATTGCCTATTTTAAAAACAGGTGTCTGAATAGTGTTTAACTCTCAAAGTTCTTTCTATTCTATTGAAACATGCAAAATATTGTTGAAGCATATGATTGTTTATCATGAAAGGAGAAAAAGGAAAAAAAAATTCTAATTATTACTAAGAAGGTAAAGAAATATCAGAAATAGAAATTTTTCTCCTGAAGACAGTTAAGATTTTCTTAGACACTTTAGATTTTCTTTTCCTGCCACTGAAACCCTTTTAATCCCTATTCTCTATGATCTCTTAATTCTTTTATGCAATTTATACTTGAAAGTTCAAAAAATGTAACTTTCATAAAGGTTAAATTTGAGTATTATAGTATACATGAACCTTAAAGCTTTTTATAGATAAAAATCTCAATTATGTCCTACGGTAAAACAAAAATTTTACAAAGAGATATGACTGAACTTTGGAGAATGACATATAAAACAAAAATTTTACAAAGAGATATGACTGAACTTTGGAGAACAACATATTTTAAGCAATATTTATCAGAATAACATGGCACATAAAACAAGCCCACCGGAATGCACAGCAAAATCCAACTTGACACTAGAAAGAGAATCAAAATAACGTGCGAGCATTTTCCTTGTCAGCTGTGAATGCTATGTATTTCTTATCACAAATAAAAAGAATTTAACTAGAAACTGAGTTCTAAAACAACATATTCTCTGAGTTTAACAAAAAGAATCTAGAATCTTCATATGCAAGTTTAATAAATCATCATAATTTATTTGTGAGATTTCTACATCAGATTGTGGCTTAAAAGCACTTATATTATGTGTGATATGAAGAGAATGATGTACAATCAATATAAATCTTGTTAAATCTCTCTTCCATGGACTTTCTCCATCTTCCTGCTTAGCAATAAAAGGCATTTTTAGGTTTATATAAACATTCTTTACAACTGCCCCCTTAACAAAAAATCACTATATAAATAGCACTAGGCATTTAGTAAATAAGTCACAGGCCAGTAAGTTCAATTGTGCAGTTGTGAAATGTAATGTGAAAGAGTTTGAAACCTTAAGACTGAGTGATCTGCAGCGTTTCCAACATGTCTTCGACTGCCTTAAGAGAGTATTTGGTTTCCTTCTTACTTCGACCTGCAAACTAATTTTTAAAAAAATGCAATTAGGCTCAATTTCATGGCAGGTTCAAAATCACAATCTTACCTTCACTTTGCTAATGAGAGTTAACGTTATCTATTTTATCACTAGCGTGAAATGAAATATCTTTTCTCCAATAAAACAAAATTGGGGTTTTTTTTTTTTTTGCTTTTATTTCCCTTACCTCAGGAGACAGATCGAGAAAAATGTTGCTATGGCCAATGTCAGAGAAATTACTGCCTATGCTCCCTTCTAGGGTTTTTATGATTTCAGGTCTCACATTTAGGTCTTTAATGCATTCAGTTTATTTTTGTGTATGGTGTAAGAAAATGGTCCAATTTCATTCTTTTACATGTAGCTGTCCAGTTTTCCTAGCACCTTTGTTGAAGGGATTACCCTTTATCCACTGCATATTCTTGCCTCTTTCATTGAAGATAAATTCATCATATAATCGTGGGTTTGTTTCTGGGTTTTTCATCCTGTTCCACTGATCTATGTCTCTATTTTTGTGCCAGTACCATATTGTTTTGATTATTATAGCTCTGTAGTATAACTTGAAATCTGGAATTGGGACACCTCTAGCTTTGTTATTCAAGATAGCTATTCAGGGTCTTTTGTGCTTCCATACAAATTTAGGATTATTTGTTCTAGTTCTGTGAAAAATGCTTTTGGTATTTTGATAGGGATTGCATTAAGTCTGCAGATTGTTGTCTTTAATTTCTTTCATCAATTTGTGAAGTCCAATTTCCTCAAAATTTAGACTTTACAGACATTTTCATTAAGTTTCATGTTTAGTTGAAGTGTATTAAGAATTCACTGCAAAATTTACTGATTTAAGTGTTTATGCAGTGTGATAACCTATAAAACATACATTTCAAAACTAACCTTTCCAGACAAGAAAACTTTTATGAAATAAAAAGCATAATTTATAAGTAAAAAATGTGAACCATTTCTACTTGTCAGCCCTCTAAACAGATATTTACAATTTCAACAAAAGTAAAATGTAAATGTAAAGTAATTTCTATTAAATATTTTAAAGTTGCAAGATATCTCTAAAATTATTTAAAATAAGTCACAATCTTTAAAAAAATTTTGGAATTATTAGTTGATTAGATGGTATGTTTCAGCAGCAAAGAGCTGTCAAAACTCTATGCTACATATTAAAATGATGCAAACGTTTTAAAATATGCATTTCTAGTTTGTGAAGTTGTAATTTACTTTATAAAACCACTGGATTTCATAATGAAAACAAAATACAATGCATTAAAAATAGTATCTTTGCACACTTAAAAGCAAATTCATGGCATATTAAATTCAATATAGTGCACATAATCAGTGAGGGAAACACTGCTGAATACCCCATGCTGATTTCAAAATGAGTTTTCTAACTACACTGACAATTCTCATCATTTATCAGTTTGACTGACTACTACAGATTTACTACAGAAGTGGTCCTTATGGGGTAAGGGAAGGTTTATTGTATCTATATTACTCATTCCCCCTGGTTAAAATATTGATTGACCTCTGCTATTAGCAAAATATAATATTTTCAAATTAACATTCAAGCATTCAATACATTTTCAAATGACTGATCTTCCCTAAAAATACCAATGCTGTCTTAAGCACTTAACACTTGATTTATAATGTGCTCCTTCTCTTTTGTAATTAACTTAATTTGGCAAACTTCTCATGTCCTGTTAAGAAAGATTAAGTGATTGAGTACAGGTAAAATCACAGAAGCAATAGAGTTCAGAAATTGGTAACCTGCTTCTGACCTCACTGGCTGCAGGTTAACATTATGATTCTCCTACTTCCTAAACCATTAGTTTCTGTGGTTGAATCTTGATTTGATAGAGTAAATAAAGGGGATTTCTAGAAGAAATGCCAGGGAAAAAGAAAAGCTCCTCATAAGAATCAAGATTACTTTAACTTTCATATGACATTACTAATTGAAGGAATTCAAATGTTAAGTATACAACTCATAATTACAAAATATGGTAACAGCAACACATTTAAAACTCTGCCTTTTCATAATTTCCCATGGTGACTAAAGGATGTAGGGTGTGTCATTACTCCTATAATCCAGTTGATAAATTCACTTTCGCAAGGACTTACCAAGAACAGAAAGCCTTTTATTTTACTACTGCCTATCCAAAGTAAACAGGAATGGCCCTAATCAGATACTTGAAGGCCTAATTCTAAGAAAAAGCTTTGATGGGTTGGAGAAAAATAGGATACCACGTAGTAACATTCACTCCAATTTGTTAATTAGCAAAATAGAAATGAAAAATTTCTGTAGAGCTGAAGTCATGACCAGTATTTTAAAATACAGAACTTTTCTTGACTTGTACTCAAACATAATAAGAGTAAATATAAATTTGCGATTTTTTAAATTAGCTAATTTTAAAAATCACCTAAAGATTGTGTGTCAATACTACTGACAACCAGTGCAATTTAGAATAAACCAAACTTATTTGTGTCAGAACAAATAAAAAGAAAGTTGGAAATATAAATCTATCACTTCAAATTTTGCCTGACATGCAATTATTTTGTCTATTCCAGAATTATATGGCAATTTAACTGATTAAGCCGGAATCCTATTTTTCCCTCAAATCATGATTTAATTTTCCATTTCCCAAAAGGATAGTAACAGAATCACCTCTGCAATCATAAATAACATATGGATTGCTAGCACAGACAAATTTAACAGTGTACCAAAGAAGCATTTATCTGGAAAATTATTGTGAGTAGGTTCACATTAAAGTTTTTCATGAGCATTAATCAAACTTGCCTGCCTGTACTGAACATGCTAAACCAATTACCTAATTGAAGAGTAAGTAGTAGCCATATTCTGTTTCATTATTAAGTAGAAAGAAAGAAGGAAAAGCAGTTCTTAAAATCTCATTTTCTCTAATTTATAAATGCCTAGAAAAACATTACAATGAGTATTTATTATATACTCTATACTTGTTTATATGCCGAGACATGAGTCATAAAATTCTCAATTAGATCCCAGAGATTTATCTAATTACTAAAATGTCAATCTCTGAAAGTTATACTTTCCACATTAATCACAAATTCTGCATTTTTGTTTTCATACAGTTAGATTTTGCTTAAATAAACTGTTTTCATAATTCCCTATGATCTTAAAGATAACTCACCAGAAAGCACATTCAAATCATAAAAACTGATTTATCAAATTCAAAGGTCAATAATTTATCCACTATGACAACTGGGATAAATTGGGCTAAACTTTACATAATTTGTGGAAAATAATATGGGTGGACAAAGTAATAGGATAAATAAATTGGAACACTGGATGGATAAATCTCAGAAACCTTATACTGAGTGAAACAAGTCAGGCACAAAAGAGTATGTAACCTATGATCTCATTTATATAAAGTTCTAGTACAGGCAAAACCAATTTATAGTGATAAAAATCAAATCAGTGCTTGTCTGCAGTGTCAAGTGGGGCTGACTGCAAAGTGGCGGAAAGGACTTTCTCGGGTGATGGAAATCTTGAATGGGGTGCTGGTGGGAAGGGAATATACATTTGTCTAAACTCAACCGTACATTTGAAATGTGCGCACATTACTGTGTATAAGTCATACCTTAATAAATCAGATAAAAAGAAAAAGACAAAATAAATGAAAACAGAAGGCGGGGACTATGGGCTTATACAACCGTGTAATAAAATGCCAAATGACCACATAGTTATCTTCCCATTAACAGGTGAAGTATTACATCCCCTGGATCTGGGTTGAGCATGTGACTTGCATTGCAATGGAAAATTAGCAATATATGACATAAATAGAGACTCAAAAAACCCTTGCGCACTGGAGTTTGGCTGTTTGCTCCTCATGAAACCCTGAGACGACCACACGAACAAGTCCAAGTTAGTCTGCCAAATGAGAAACACGAGGCCTAGCACTTCCAGCTGACAGACAGTAAGCCAACAGTCAGATAAATTTAAGTGAGGCCATCAACCACTGGCACAGCACAGAAATATAAATAAGCCCAGTCGAGACAAGCAGTATTACTCAACTGAGCCCAAGCTAAACAGCCTACCTATAGAATCGTAAGCAAATGTTAGTCAAATCACTAAGTTAGCAAAAGGTAATGGATACAAATATTTACAGAATCTGAATCACAGAAAGAACCCAGAACCTCTGCAGAAAAAGCAAAAAATATGCAAGCTTTAAAACCACCAAGAGATTTTATTTAAAGCCTGTTACTAGTATCTAGAGGCAAATAAATTTTGCATGATGGGTATGATTCCTAGCTGAGGAGTATTGGAAGTTGCTATACAGAAATCTGACATGAGGAACTGAGAAATTTGTTATCTTTCCTGCAGTGGTATCTAAAATGATAGAAACTGGCAAAAGTTCTTTTTTCTATCCTTTCCTACAGAGTCAAGAGAAGGCAAATCATGTCTTCAGTAAAGATCTGTAAAATATCTCTGGGGACTGTGGAGTTTCTGATGCAAAACTCAAATACTGAAGAGTACCAGTGACACTCTTAGAGCTCTTTCCAAAGAACACTGAGACTTTATACGTCTATAAATAGAATGGAGTTAGTGAGGCAAAATTAAAAAAGAAAAAAAAAAGAATGGCAGAAAGAGTAAATATTACTAAAGAACAGGGTTTGTTTCTATGAACAATGGCTTAAAATACTGAAATGATAGATTCATGTCCAGTGATGCATCTCATAAGGCAGAGAAAAGCATGCTTGTCTGGTCTTGTATTACTGAAGAGACAGGAAGAAAGAAAAAACAAAAAACAAAATAAAACTCTGAACGTAGTTACTATTTAGAGCTAAAGCTCTGAACTGAACTGAAAAGAGACACAAGTGAGGGTAAGCTATCAACTATTCACATGAGAAAATAATTAAGAAGACCGTGAAAAACTGTATTTATACCTTCAGATACACTTATACCTGACATTTCTTTAT